CCATCTAATCGACAGATACGGGTGCACTTTTAGCATTCTTGAATTTTCCCCGCGTTGGATCTCTAAAGAGTTTGTCTGGCAGTATAAGGACAAACTGATCCAGGAATCTGTCACTTCCAAGTTCCCCCCTGAGTCCCCCATTGCACAGCAAGGACTCTGGTGGGACTTGTTTACCCCCACACTTAGGAAGGTCTCCAAACATCTGGGTTTCCAGGAGGCCAGATGTGTCAGACATTTATTTTGCGGCTGTCTGACAACAGGCCAAACACTTGTCAAGTGGGGCTATCAGTTTAACGGATTATGCCCTTACTGCCGGCAGTTAGACACACCTCGCCATCGAATCTGGCTCTGCCCCCATGCCGAGGAGGCACGCCAGGAGTTTCTTGCAGACCTCATCGAACCAGCCAAAGCAGCAGGAGAGGAATGCCTTCTATTTAACAGGCTGTGGGTCCCGAGAGCCATAGCAGACCCACCAGTGGAATGCCTCCTCCCACAACATTTTGGACCAGACGGTCCTTGTAATCCAGAATTAATGGCAGCGGGCTTGCCCATATATGTTGATGACAGCTGCCTAAGTCCATCAATGCCTTGCATTTCGGGAGCAGGATCTTCAGCAGTCCAGACAGACAATGAAGGCAATTTTATACGAGCTGTCCGAGCACCCTTGCCACGACAGTATCCTCAAATGTCAGGGCATGCGGAGCACTTAGGACTTTTACTAGCGGCACAGTGGTCGGAACATCCACGGTCCGCACCCATAATTGTAGACTACTCTGGCTTAATGAAAGGATTTTTAAAGCCCGAAGCAGCGCCCTAAGGGACCAGCATCTTTGCCACCTTTCGGCGCAAACTTGCATCCTACCCCCCTTCCGATTCATGGCTTGAGTTGCGCAAAACCAAGGCGCGCCGCAGGGCAGAAGAAGCAGCATATTCTCTAGATGCTTTGGACATCCAAGGCAACAGAGCTGCAGATTACCACGCAGGTGAAGCAGCTAAACTGCATGCTTTGCACACCAATGAAGTGGATGAGCATGAGGCCGCCATGCAATTATATAAGTCTTTTGTCCTAGGTGCAGGAAAGGTCCTTGCGCCCCGGCTTCCAGCCAAGGAACTGTGGCCAGACATCGCGAAGCCAGCGCCGCAGAGAGCAGGTCGCCCTTTTGTCCAGGACCATGACCCAGTGTGGAATGGATCAGTCTTCAGATGCAGATCTTGCTTGAAAGTTGCAAGCGCTCGCATCCGCGCATCTTGCAAACCAGTGCCAAACAAGATCAGAGACATGGCAGCTGAAGCCAGAGACCGCCACCATAAGATTGTGTATTGTATTATAATTGGCAGCAAGCTCTCATTAATATTCTGTAGTGAGTGCGGATGATTTACCTCAGGCAGAGGCTCTCCGAAGTTGCTGGGCAATTGCGCCCGTAAGATGTCCTCAGAACTGAGAAAGCTCCAGAAGCAGGGGCTCGCAGGATCTGGAGGCCTCGGAATTTCAGACCCAGTCCAGTTTGATTTCTAGCTTGCTTTGTTTGTTTGCTTGCCATTCGAGGGGGGGGGGGGGGGGGGGCGTAGCGCCCGTGCGGGTGGGCGCGATCCCTTAAAGGCGACGGGGCGTGCCTACCCTCGAGCATTCTTATTGTTATGTTTAAGTCAAGTGTTGCCTCGGGGACGCTGAAGCGTGCCGAACGTCAGTGCTGATTGTCAGATGCGCTGAACGTCCGCGCCGAAACGTGTGGGTGGGGTCTCGAGAGCGAGTAGGCTTGTTTTCTCCTCTTCCCCCCCGCCCGCCGCAGCTTCTCTGTGTCGAGCGCCCCGAGAGCTCCAAGTATGATTTGCAAATGCCAGCACCACCACCAATGTGGAGGCTGGATTCACCATTGGAGAGCGCAGCTGAATCCCAGCATGTGGTGCTCTAAGATTCGCGATGGGGTCAAGTGCGACGGGGCGTGGCTAACTCCTGACCAGCTCAATGCTCGTGATAGTGAGATCGGTCCCCCGAGGCCGCCAAGTGAGCCGCCACCTCAGCAGCCATTCCAAGCTAAGCCTTCTGTTCGTCTCATGCCAAGTGTGGTCGCTAAAAAGCGCCCTGCACCCACGCCCAGCACGAATCCTGTCGTGCTGCCAACCCCATCCAGCTCTTCCAGCTCCAGTGCCTCTGCCCCAGTTGTGCTAGATCCAGATCCTCCCGAGTCAGAGTCAGACCCGCTCAAGCGGGCTCTTGACCAGATTGACTATATGCGTGGCAGGATCGTCGATCTCAATACTCAGAATTTAGAGCTGATGATGGAGATAGACGCCCTCAAGAGGCGTAAGACGGAGTAGGAGCTGAGGCCTCGAGTTTCGTGGTTTATCGGGAGCTTGACAGCATCTCATCCTGTCTCAACGAGGACCCAGCTCCCATTCCCACACTTCTGAAGGGCATGCAGCGCTGCCATCCACCTCATGTAAGGGGTCCAAGTCGTCTGGTTAACTTATTGTCGGGTGTTTTCTTGGCCCCCTTACCCTCCCTCCTCCCCCCCCCCGCGCCCCGCCGTGCGACGACGCCAACCTGGTGCAGTCGTTGCCGAAGGGCTAGGCGGGTTTCCTCGGGGGAGGAGGCAGCAGCAGCAGCAGCAGGATGATCCAAGGTGGATGTCCCTCTTCTCTTTTCTTTTCATTTCTTTAGTGGCCAGTGTGCTTGCACGGTGGACCACTGTCGCTTCTGTAATATGTAATCTGAGGAGGAGGAGGAGTGGAAGTAGGAGGAGGAGGAAGAGGAGGAGGAGGAGGAGGAGGAGGAGGAGGAGGAAGAGGAGGAGGAGGAGGGGGGAGGAGGAGGAGGAGGAGGAGGAGGAGGAAGGAGGAGAGAGGAGGAGGAGGAGGAGGAGGAGGAGGAGGAGGAGGAGTGGGAGTAGGAGGAGGAGGAGGAGGAGAGGCTGGAGGCTTGGCAGCGTTTCGTTTGGGGGCTGGCAGGGTAGACGGCCAGGGGTGGCCAGCGCCTCGATCGGTGGGGTCACGATCTCGCCCCCGGAGCAGCGCAGCGCGATGCCGTCTCGTCGCCCCACGGTCGCCGCCTCTTGGGCGCGTTCCTGGACCTCTGACAGTGTGATTGTCTTGGTGCGCGGTCTCAGAGGCCCCTACCCCTTGCCAGGCATCCAGCTCTGATGGCCCGTGGGCCCGGCCACGGGCCCCAGAGGCCGAGGTCGAGGAGAGGCGCAAGGATGGAGCGGATCCTATTGTCGGAGATTGCGAAGGTCTTGCGGCCCGTGCCGCCGACCCTGCAGGGATACGACGACAGAAGAGCGGCGGCCTCGACGACGACGACGGCGACGCTGACATGGGCCAGGGTCCTGAAGGATGCTTATTGGGGTCTCTTCGGACGGCTCTTGGGGGGCCTCTGGGGATGACTTGTGGGGCCTCTTGGGAGCCACCCGGGGGCCTTTGGGAGCCTCTTGGAGGTCTCTTCGGGGGCTTCCAAGAGACTTCGTGTCAGTCTCTTGGGGCCTCTTGTGAACCCCGTAGGGCCTCCTGGGAGCCTCTCGGGGCCAAGGGCTAGAAATATCCGTTCGGGTCCCCCTGTCAGGGCACGCTCTTGGCGCCGTCTTGGTGGCCTCTTGGGCCGTCTTTGAGGCGTTTTGGGATGTCTTGGGGTCCTCTTGGGATGTTGTTGGAGGCCGCTTTGGCCTTCTTGGGGCGATCTTGGGAGCTTCTTGCGCCGTCTTGGAGCGGCGGGAAGGCGAAAAGGCGAAAACGCCCAAATCTTAAAACAACCAGCGGGAAATTCATGAATTTGGCCTCTTTGGGCCTTTTCGGGAGTGCTCTTGGATGTTTTTTGGGGCGTCCTTGAGGCCTCCTGGAAAGTCTGGAGGGCGTGAGGTGTTGTGGACCGATCGTTTGGCGATTGGGGACCTTCTTGGACCGTCTCGGGGGCCTCTTGGGGCACTCTTGGCCTGTCTTGGCACTTTCTGAGGCCCTGGGACCCCCATGGGGGGATGCACATCTGAACTGGGCCCCCCCCCCAGATTTTTCCCATTACCCGCCCCCCCCGGCGGGGGAGGGATCATAGGTAGCGAGGGGCTTCCCTTCGACTCGATCGCGACATTGCTACTTCTTTCTCTCGCTGATGAGCTCGAAGAGCAGGTTGCAGGGGAAGGGGACGACGGAGACGACGGCTGACTGAGACGACGTTTCGAACAGACAAGCCCTTCGCACACCCCGACAGGGTCGGCGGATTTAGTGTTGGCTATCCGTTGTGGCTTGTTGGTGGTCTTGACGTTTTGCGTCCGGGCTACCAGCGAGACGCAACGGATCCGTGTGAGCACCAGACTCGAACGGTCGGGTACCGGGTCGTACAAACAAGATTTTGAGTCCCACTAAGTGGGGCCCAGCATGCGGGTACGCCGGGGGTCTCCATGGGCATTTTGTTCAAGGTATTTTACTGCGCCCGCTCTGCACTGCTATACAGTCTTGTGAAACATAATCCGCTTGCTGAAAATCTACGTTTTCGGTCATCGCTCCACATCCTAGTGCCCCCCCTCCCCCGGCGGGGAAGGAGCAAAGGGAAGGGGATCCCCTTCGAGCGAACCACTACGTTTTTTGAATTTCTTTCGGGCTGACGACGACGAGGATGACGACGACGACGATGACAACGACGACGATGACGACGACGACGACGTCGACGTGATGACGACGACAGCGTCCTCCACGCACCGACAGGGTCGGTCGATGTGAGGCGACTGGTACCTAGGTCGCCCGCGGGGGCGCGAAGATAAACGTGCTTCGCGCGTCGCGGTCTAGGCCAGAGCGGCTGCCTTTCTCCACGGTGGGGCGGCGCGATGGCGCGAAGATGCGTAAGCGCGCGTCGCGCATCGCAGGGTGCGATGCGCGCAGTTCGGTGGCCTAGAGTACGACCAGGCCAATCAACTGACCTTCCCGCCTCCCTCCAGCGCTGCGCATTTGGGCTCAAGTCACAAGGTGCCGCTCCATCGATCATTCTGGCTGCCAGCCTGTCGCACTGGCTGTTCATGGAGAGGGGACTTTCTTCGATCCAGGCGGTCGTGGAGGACTACGTCTCAAGCGTCGCGCCCAGTTCGTCGGCCTTTGGTTTTTTGACCCTGGTGCCGTGGAGTTCGCAGGATCAGCCAGCCAACGTGCTGGCCCCCGAGGCAGGCAAGAGAGAGATTAGCCAGGGCAACATCACCCAGATGGTGGAGCAGCACGAGGCCGTGGTGATCCCGTCCGTGTACAAGACAAACAAGGAGAAGATGGGCTTGACGCGTCTCTTGGACTATCTGACGGCCGCGCACCCTGACGCGTACGTTGTCTTGGTGCAGCTGCCAGATCGGTTGGGTGCCGAGCTGACCAGGGGCTACCTCCGTACCTTGATGGCGCGGCAGGATCTGCTCCACAGCTTTGGGGCCAGCGGCGTGCTGATGGAGCTGGTGGGTGACCCAGAGGGCTTGCAGCAGAAGGTACGTCTGGAGCTTACAGAGAACACCGCGATCCAGCTGCGTGTGCAATGCTACGAGAGCACCGTGACAGCGGGAGTGTTTTCCTTCACCGAGCTCCAGACCATCGAGGACGAACACGATCGTCTTCTCTGGGATACCATTTCGAAGTCGCTAATGCCCGGTTTCCCTGCTCCAGACAAGCGCTTGCTGGAATTTGGGGACAGGGTTGGGGAGTTCCGGTTGGTGCAGCAGTACGCAAATCACGAGCACGTCTTTTTGGCGGTTAACGGGCAGCACGAGAATGTCGTGATCAAGACGCGCAATAAGCGGAGCGTCACCGCTGCCGAGGAGGTGGAGAGCGTCTACCAGGAGTTCAACCTCCTGACACACACCCTCGACCACCCACACATCATCCGCTGCGTAAGCATGCTGCACAGCCAGTCCCATGTGCACATGGTGCTCCAGTATGGCGGCGACTTCTGCATGGAGCAGGTGCTGTCGATTCAACCAGGCCGCCAGTTGTCCAGGGACGACGCCGTGGACTGCACCATCCAGATCACGCCAATGATGTTACTCACGGGCAGGTGTCGCTGAGGCATGTGTCGGTAGAGATGGCGAGGAATCGGCTCGTTTGCCGCCTGATAGATTTCAGCATGGCAGCCCACGTTCCAGACTCCAGCATGCGGGAGACCATGTGTGGTTCTCTCCCGTGCGTCGCTCCGGAGACAGCGCTGGGGGAGCCGTACTGGCCCAAGCCGGCAGATTGTTGGAGCTTAGGGGTGGTGCTCTTGGAGACCGCTTGCGGGCAAGGCACGCTCGAGCTCTCGGTGCCATGGCGCCGTTGCGCATACCTCGCGCAGGCCATGCGGGAGATACTCGAGTTCTTCGCCCAAGCCGGCTCCCATGCTCAGGCGATGGCGAGCATGGGCGGCGTGTACGACGGAGCGGTGTTGGCGTGCCTGGAGGCGCTGCTGAGGCCCGAGCCCCTCCGCAGGGCGAGCGCCTCCGACGCGGTAGACGTGCTGTCAGCCAGGCGCGTGAAGGCCGCTCGTTGATGGGTGGTGCTCGGGGAACACATAATAACACAAACATCAGCTTTCAGAGGTCTGCGCAGATTTCTCTGCTCGGCGCTGGAGATTCCTGGCGGCGCCTCTCGCGCCGCGCCTGGCGTGCTCCGCGCGCCAAGGAGAGGGGTCAAGCGCCGATCCAAGAAATCCGCGCAGACCTCTAAAGTCTTTGTTTATGCCCTATTTGTTCCCCGAGATGCGCCCACTTCTGGAACTTAGTAAAGGTGCCCCTCAACAAAGGGCGCAGTTGCATCCATCTGCACAAGTTTTCCATGAATGCAGCTCATTCGAGCTCCAGGCAGAATGGATACGTTTGCCTAAATACTACACGTTCTGGTGTTCGCAGGTTTTCGTGCTTCGTTGTTTGCCTGAGCGTCTTCATTGAGTGACTCGGTCACAGTTTCTTCGTCCCTCTTCTTTTGGACTGCAGCCACGGTGCTCCAGACGTCTGGGTGGAGAGCGTCTCTACAGCCCGCGACGTCGAAGATACGTGTGTTCGCTTTGCGAGGTATTGCCGACGCTGATTTTGTCCAGTATTCTATCTCGCGGATTCCCACATGTGAGTGCGCTTTGCAGCAGCTCTCCTCACCTTTGGTCGCAGTGGCAATCAGCAGGGTCAGCTTCGATCTGGGGGTCCTTTTCATCCGGTCCACTCGGGTGTCCCAAATCGAGACTACTCGATCCAGCGCAGCCAATGAGCAGCCACTTTTTTACGTCGTGCGCCTCTGCGCTTGGCGATCTTTGCAGGCGTTCCGTCTGCCCCCCCCCCCCGAGTTCTCTGAATGCGTGCCCATGGCAGGCATCGCCAGAAGCACCATGGGGAGGGAAGCAAATCCACTCCCCGAGTAGATGACATCCTTGCGCGGCAGAAAGCCTTACATAGTTTGTACACAGTTGCGATGCGGGCCACGATGTGGGGCCAGGTTGGGGGATCGGGATGTGGTAGGGATAGGGACAGGGAGTGCCACACACTAAGATCATGTTAAGAACCGTCCTACTACTACAATTGCTATGTGTCATGCAAATGCGAAAACTATTACGACTGCCAACATACTTGCCTTCGGCCCATCCCGCCCTCGTGCTTGGGTTGTGGGTCAGAGTTCTCAGGGATGCTTCTTGGGGTCTCATCGGAGCGCTCTCGGGCGCCTCTTGTGGGCAGCTCTGGGCCCTCTTGGGAGCCTCTTGGGGGCCTCTTGGGGTCCTCTTGGGGCCTTTTGGGGGCCGCTCGGTGCCTCTTGGGAGCCTCTAGGGGGCCTCTTGGGACCTCCTAGCCGTTTTTGGGGCGTCTTGGGCGCGTCTTGGGCCGTCTCGAGGCCCTCCCTCTTGGGCCGTTTTGGAGCCCTCTTGGAGGCCTCTTGGGCCGTTTCGGGGCGATCTTTGGGGCCTCTTGGACCGTCTTGGGGCGTCGGGAAGCCGAACAGGCGAGAACTCGAAAATCCTTCAACAACCCATGGCACATCACAGATTGCGAAGGCCTTACGGCCGGTGCTGCCGGCCCTGAAGGTGGACGTCGTCGACGACGGTGGCGGTGGCGGCGGCGACGACGACGACACTGACGTGGGCCCGAGTCTTCAGGGATACTTCTCGGGGTCTCTTGGGAAGGCTCTCGGGGGCCTGGAGGAATTTCGGGATCTCTCGCGAGCCTCTTGGGGGCCTCTTGGGGGCCTTTTCAGGCGTCGGGGGGGCCTCTTGTCGGCTTCTTGGAGCCTCTTGGGAAGCTCTTGGGGCCTCCTGGGAGCTTCTCGGGGCCGAGGGCTCGAAATGTCCGTTCGGGTTCCCCGTCAAGGTACGCTCTTGGAGCCGTCTTGATGGTTTCTGGGGCCGTCTTGGAGGCGTTTTGGGACGAATTGTGGTTCTCTTGGGATGTTTTGGAGCGCTCGTGGAAGCCTCTTGGGCCGTCTTGGCGCGATCTTGAGGGCCTCTTCGACCGTCTTGGAGCGGCGGGAAGCGGAAAAGGCGAGAACGCCCAAATCTGTCAAACATCATAGGACAATCAATGACTTTTGCCTCTTGGTGCCCTCTCGGGAGTGCCTTTGGAAGCCTCCTGGGGCGTCTTGGAGGTATCCTGGTCTGGGAGCGTGAAGGCGTTCTGGACCGATCGTTTGGCGATTGGGGGCCCTCTTGGACCATCTCGGGGGCCTCTTGAGGCACTCTTGGCTTGTTTTGGTATTTTTTGCATCCCCGAGACCTCCAGGAGTGGATGCGTATCTAAACCGGGTCCCCCCGGGACCCCCCCGGGACCCCCGCCCCCGAAGTGGGAGGTATCAAAGGGAAGGGGCTTCCCTTCGATTCGATTGCGACACTGCGAGTTTTTTCTCTCGCTGACAGGCTTGAGGAGGGTGCGGGGAAAGGGGGCGACGCAGACGACGACTGACGGAGACGACGACTCGAGCAGACAAACTCCGCGCACACGCCAGCAGGGTCGGCGGAGTTGCGCCTGCCTATCTCCTATCAGGTTTCAAGCCAGGTGTTCGAGTGCAACCTTCGTATGTTAGTCGCGTGCCCAACAATGCTGTGTTGAGCCTGGCCGGCGAATGGACTCTGAGCGAAGCCATTGCCAAGCGACAAATGATTTTTTTAGGGCAGCTCGCGAGGAAACCCTGCCACGACCCTGTGCGATGCTCCGTTCTACAGCCCGGCGGCATTGAACCGCAATTGCCGACAGATGTGGGGCAACATGGTTCTGAAGAACTGTCTGAGAATAGCCGGCACCCGCGGCCGCTTAGCTGTCTTCTTCCGGCCTGAAGCCGGTACAGCAGCGGCGCGGGAGTCGACTGTGCAAGCGTGGCGCGACTGACCGTTCGTGTTTCCACTTTGCGTGTTTTCTGCTTGCGCACCGTCTGGTGCTAGCTTCCCCCCGCCCTCCTCCTCCTCCTCCTCCTCCTTCTCCTCCTTTGGCTTATATCAGCCAGACCTGCTATGCAGAGTCTGCTTTGGATGGAGTGCCGAAGGGCACCTTCGCAGGCGTAATCGTCTTGTTTCACCCTGCTCGCGCTCCAGCTTGCGCAAGACTTCTGACCTGACCTGACTTATTTCCTACCGCTCCCCCCACCCCCATCGGGCGCGCATAGCTTCACTTATTCTTCCACCTCCAGGTGGTTCACTTCCAGTCGTCCGGCATGATGCGGTGGAGGTTGATGCGGAGAGAGCCCTTCTGCTTCTATGCGGAGAGAGCACTCCTGTGGAGTGAAAGCATCTCCCACTCCGCTCAGGGCTTCTTTCGCTCCTCTTGGGTGCTGTTTGAAGCGAATGCCGTGCATTTTGTTGGCTGCGCTCGCAACCCTCGCCAGCAGGTCTCACACTGCTGGTCTTGCTGATCAGTGGTGGGCCCGTTGAGGCCAAGCAGTTCTCCTTATGCTCCTCCCGATCCTGCTCCCTCCCTTTCCTCCTTCCCCGCTGCCCCCGCTATTGCTCCTGCCCCTCGTGCTCCTCCTCCTCCTCCTCCTCCTCCTCCTCTATACTCTTCCTCCTCCCCTCCTCCCTTCCTCCTCCTCTCCTCCTCCTCCTCCTCCCTCCTCCTCATCCTTCCCCCTCTTCCTCTCTTCCTCCTCTCCTTCTGCTCTCCTCCTCCTTCTCCTCCTTCTCCTCCTCCTCCTCCTCCTTCTTTCGTCTTCCTTCTCCTCCCTTCTCCTCCTCCTCCTCCTCCTCCTCCTCCTCCTCCACAATTACTCAATATGAATACTACTCTCCCTCTTCCCCTGATGACGGCTTGAAAGTGTCCGACCCCCCCCCGCGTACTGTTTTTTGCACACCAGTTTCCCCGGAGTTGGGTTTTCGCCTGCATTTTTTTCCAAATGCTGCTCTCGCTGAGGCGCCGGCCTCATTTTCGGGCTCCGCTCGTTCCGAATCGTGCTCCCGCTGCAGCGCTGGCCTCATTTCTGTGCTTCCGCTCGTTCCGAATCGTGCTCCCGCTGCAGCGCTGGCCTCATTTCCGCGCTTCCGTTCGTTTCGACTCGTGCTCCCGCTGCAGCGCTAATATTTTTTTTTTTGTTTATGGCCTTTCTTTCTTTTTTTTGTTTTTTTTGCTTGGTTTGTTTTTTTTCGTTTTTTTTTTGGTGTATTGTTTTTTTTTGTCTTTTAGTTTTTCATTTTGGCGACATTTCCTGCACATGCAATCCGGATGCAATGCAATTGCGAGGTTGTTTATGCTTTGCGGGCTCTTCTACGCCATGCCATGCCGTGCTTTACAATGCATCGCGTACCCTTTCGGGATCATGGCCCTGCTCGACATCCGACCGTGCGAGTAGAGAGGGGATCTACGCCATGGTAAGGGATGGGAGGGAGGGGTAGGATGTCAGATATGACGCGGGCGCACCTAGCTTGTCGCCCCCCTCCTGCTCCTCTCTCCTCCTCCTCTGCCTCCTCCTCCTCCCTCCTCCTATTTACTCCTCCTCCCCATTTTCCTCTCCTTACCTCCTCCTCCATTTCCTCCTCCTCCATTTCCTCTCTCCTCCCTCATCCTCCTCCTCCTCCCTCCTCTCTCCTCCCCCTCGCTCCTCTTCCTCCTCCCTGCTCTCCTCTCTCTATTCCTCCCTATTTTTTTATTTCTACTCTTCCTTTTCTTCTTCCTCTTTTGGGGGGTGGCGGTCCAGGCGGATGTAAATTTCCGTGACGGCTCTAGTTTTTTCGACGTTGACCCGCCGCAGCCTAGCGCCGCGGTGGTCCCTCCGCCTCCGAGGCCCTCTGGTGCCCACCCTTCGAACCCCCTCCGTTCGGTGGTCGATGCTTTGAGGCAGGAGGATAGGGCCCGCGCTTTTCAGGATAAGGTTCAACGTTTGTGCCGCGCGGCAGGTGCTGCGCAGGCAGTCCCAAGCTCACTTGAAGTCAATGCTTCGGACGACTCGGATTAGTGCCGTCCGGCCCAGTGTGCACGCACGCATTGTAGGTGTGCGTGTTCCGCTGACCAGAGGATTTGTGAATAACTCTTTGGCGCGTTCGGAGGCCATCCCCGTTTGGCGAGAGCCCCAGAGTGCCGCAACAAATTGTGG